TAGACGTTGTCTTAGGGTAGCCTACAAATCACACATGAACAATAACACTCTGGCTGGGTTGACAGCTCCAGAAAATAAAAAAATAGCCTTATTTTACTTCTCCAGAGGGTTCAAAAATATTTTAAAATCCAAGTCACATTTGAAAAGCTTTACGTCAGGCTTTTCAAATCATTTAGTTGAATTTTTCCAATTTTTTAAATTAGGTGTGTTAAGATGAAGTTTTTATCATCAATTAATTGGAATATTGTAAAATAGTACAATTTGTTGACCAGAATAAAGATTGAGACATATTATTCAGTTACAACAAGAGTGGTATTGAGTCTGTAGTATATATTTCAAATTACTATAAATTACACATATAGGCGTTGTCTTAGGATAGATATAGTACTTCAATTTTAGGATAGGCTATATTATATATTTCAAATTACTACAAACCACACTTATAGACGTATAACAGCATAATGCAATACATGTATTTTAAATTACATGAAGGACAAATTTGTCGTATTTGGTTTTCTTCTAAAATTAAAGAACAAAAATACTAAAGTAGAATGTAATGTCGTATAAATGCCGCCATTTTTATATATGTTTGTGAACGTTCAGTACAAACTTCATATCTTAAGAACTTGTGAAATGAAATCTATTCAAATAGTGTTTACTATTCTAAATTGCCTTTCTTTTTTTTTCAAATTAATAAGATTGATGAATATCAACTTGAGGATTGAATAACAGCTTTATGGTAACTTTATGAAGATAGTACTGTAGTACCATTTTATAAGCTATTTAATAATGAAGTTTATATCTCGATAGATTCAATTTTTTTAATAATGAATTATTTATCTCGACAGATTCTATCTTATTCTCAACCTATAGAACGTCTTTATTAGAGCATCGCTCTTTATCGCCACCATCTGTATGCACCTCGAGAAGAATGTTTAAAAAGACTATCTGATCATTAAATAAATATCAATATAATTCTCTTTAACTATATGTATACCAGCAAACAATTATTTACCCATTAACCAAATTTAATTCAAGTCATAAGCTTATACAATTTCTTATAGATGACTATTTATACATTCCTTTGTAGGTCTGTATAAAATTCAAGATTATAAAGAGAGAGAGAGAGAGAGAGAGAGAGGGGGGGGGGGCGGGGTATTTAGCAAAGGGAGGAAACCGGAAGACCCTACTCCTTGTCACGTACAACCGGGGATTCGAAACCACGCCAGTTGACTCAATGACAGGCCTTATGATACAGCGTGCACGTGCTAACCATTCGACCATCCACCCCCCGCCCCCAAGATTGTAAAAGGGATCTTATAGAATGATTAATCGCTGTATACACTTCGTAAAGACAGCATATTTTTTAATTTGAATCTTTATGATAGTTTAAAGGGGCTAAATCGCTAATATTCGGGAGCTAGAAATTGACATAAATGGGTCGCAACGCACATATGAATGCGTATTAACTGATTTACATTCAATCAAATCAGTTTTGTTCGGCGAAATACGCGAGAAGTCTCAATCGAATGGCAATCTCCAGCGTCTGGTTATTCCAGTCTTCACCGATAGTATTTATTGCACATGCTCTCCAGATAAGTATACGGCGTCACCATTTGACATGACTTGTGAAATATGTCTAGCCTCGTTCTTCGAGCCCCTAGTTACAAAAGGCGGTGAAACGCATTCTGGTACACGATTCGTGTACCAATGCTAAAATGTTTATTTTGTCTTAAATATTGGATATCAGAAGCCCATCTTTTCCTGGTAAGATCACAACATCCATATTAATTTAAATTGACAAATAATTCGCGTTTTTAATGTGGAAGACTGTGGATGATATTGAGTTAAAGACTTAGCTACTTTAATTGCTTTAATATCATTAATATTATACAAATAGATATTTTTGGTGATTACTTTTCCCCATCAAATCAATTTGTAATTCAAAACTCCAAGCATAGGATAAATGCGCATGTCGAATCTCATCAATCTAAAAGCAAGGAAACAATTCGTGTAGGTCACGTGTAGGTCACGTAAGCTATTAAATCGCTATTAATATTAATAATTATTTTAAAACGAGTTATCTTAACAACAAGTTTCTTTAGAATGACTATTTATAGTGGAAACAATTTGATTTGTTATGATTCATTAATATAACTGAATTATCAGCAAACCAACAACAATTCAAGTTGAAAGTTAGCTCAGGAAATAATCATATTACGAGCGTATCTTCTGTAATGAAACCAAGCGTAAAAACGTTATTCTACGTGTTCCTTGTTGATGTAATGATATAGCCATTATCAAACACTTGGTGAAAACACGATCGGATAGAGTCGTTTGTTGGGATAATCAGTAATATGATAAAGACCTAATTTTCTCCCTAACCGTCCACAAAAGAGCTGCCTTAAATGGTGAATGGAGATTATTTTGAAACCGTTATAGGTTTCAATGATGTTGCATCTAAGGCCCAGAGAATGAATGGTTGATATCAGGACAGACTTTCAAACACAGCTCAAAGCATTTAAGATCTTGAACAGATGGCCAAATGATTTCAAAATATCATGGAAAACTATAGTCCCTTATGCACTTATTACAAGCAAGTTCCACAGTTTAACAGAAACTATACACCCATATCCGTCTCTGGTGGTCATGGGCTCATAATATATATTCGTCGCGTTTCTTGCGAACCGACGAATCTGATATATTTAAGTATTGAGAATTATGTGTTTGAAATTTGCGTTCTGTTGTTATATATGTGTCCATCAAATAATAACATTTATTTGTGATTTAATATTTCATACATATACACCAGGACATGGAATGGAGGCGTGCCTACAACACCGTCGATCAGATAACTTTCACAACCGATCATAATGGAAACATTGGCCTAAATAGCATTTTTCAAAAACAAAAGGGAAGCTATGTTTCAATTTACAGTCGTTGTTTGATGCGGTTTTTGTGCATTCGACTAGAGTGAAAGGGCATCGGTTCTTTATAACAGCAGAACACGATTCGTCATGTTGCATTGCCTTTGTGAAACATTCTACGAGAAAGTTGTTTATTATTAATTAATATTCATCTTTGATATACTATACTTTTACATCTTTTTTATTTAGCCTACTATTATAAAGTTTCTTGAGAGAGAGAGAGAGAGAGAGAGAGAGGTGGGGGTTAACGTCCACTCGACACGAACTAGGTCATTTCGGGACTAACATATGGTTCAATTTTATTTCAATAAATCACTTGCGCGTTTAGCAGTGGGAGGAAACCGGAGGACCCAGAGAAAATCCACGTGGTTGGACAAGCGACCCTACTCCTTGTCACGTACAAACGACGAATATAAATATATAAAAATTCCTCTAATGAAAGAAATACAGGACTTTAAAGGTTGTTTTTGTAATGCTTATTGCGACGAATGTACGAAAAAATCGATTGACTTATAACGGCGATGCAATCTGTCAGAAGAAAAGGTCTTTTTTCTTTGGCCATAAAGTATTTGTGACGGTAGTTAAGAAGACATTTCTCTAATTGAGAATACAGAATTAGGGCGATAAGAAGATTCAGTGGTGCAGGATAATAACTCATATTGTCTACACTTGATTTCCTTTTATTACACTAAAGCTTTATATGACTCATTGAAGTGGTCCGCAAATCAATGGACGGACCAATTCAGTAACATGGCCCCGAGATACATATACAATAAAGACATTTTCCTAGCAGTAATTATAAAACCCAGGAACTCACCGTATATTATTAATAGACCAAAATCTCTTCTGTTAAATGCACGACTTCTGACGGTCAAATATATGGACATATTATTTATTTGTCTTGTCATTTTTTATGCCTGGTGTGACTAGATGCTCGAGGCAAAAATGAATATTCTTTTATCTATTGTACATGGTGATGCATGTGCCAATAATCACCATTCTCTTTTCTTTGTTGTTGTTGTTGTTTATTAAAATTTTAACTCCCAATAAATACATTGTATATGATATTGGGGATGACTTAATTCCAATTATTTACATATGAAGACGTCACTGAATTTTAACGTCCAATACATTGAATATGATATTGGGGATGATTTAATTAAAATTATTTACATATGAAGGCGTCGCTGAATTTTAATGTCCAATACATTGAATATGATATTGGGGATGATTTAATTAAAATTATTTACATATGAAGACGTCATTGAATTTTAAAGAGAGGGTTTATACCGTAAATACAAACTAAGAAGATTATCGCTTTTGTTTTTATATGTGTAAATGTTTACTTTGTTTTATTTAAATAGATGTCGAAATACAATATTTGCTTTTAGTTTATCTAAACAATTATACTTTTAAAGGATGACGTATTTCAGGCATACAGATCACAATATGAAGTTTGTTCTACGACTAAAATATCTAGCACTTTAGCTATACTGCTGCTTTAAGGAGAAAGGGGTGTATTACTTGTATTTCAATAGTTTCATGTCTCCGATGTGTTAATTCTGTCCCATTGGATGCCAAACATTACAGCTTTGCCTAAACAAAGACACAAACGATGCAAGTACAAAGGAAGGAATTTGACTCATCCTTGGGGTTATCCCAGCCCGCTGATGTTAGTGTGTGCTTAAAACGTCCATTGTCTCAAATATAACCATAAAACACAATAAAAATATCCTATTTTACAATTTCAAAATATCAAATTACTAAAAGCCAACATCTGTAGTTAAATACATATTCTAAGGACACACTGACATGTAAATTTTAAGAATATATGATGAAATTTGAGTCAGTTAAGTTTTAAAAAAAAACCCAACAAAATAACATCATATCAGAACGTTGATCCCATTTAATTATTTATTCCATTAATATTTCAGGAATAAGTACATTGATTAATTAAAAGGGAGAGCATTTAAAAATGGAGGAAGCCTCACAATGCATCCATTTACCGTTATCTTCCGTCTTATAACATCCCCAAAGCAAAGATAAATTTGGATAAATCGAGTATTTACTGACCTTGATAAGGCTTCGTGTAGCGATGTCATTTTCATGTCTGTGATATTATGTTCTCCAATCGAATGCCATCAAAAAGAAAGCATCTTGTAAAATCCACACTCGGCTTGTTATTGAAAAGACTTCTAGTATTATAAACGTTAACCGCGGCCAACGTTATGGCAAGCCACACACAAAATCAATAGGCTTCGTTGATACAAGGCAAAATGTACTGTAGACTGACTGCTACACACAGAGCAAATGTAGGAAGATACGTCACATTCAGCTGTTACAGACCCCAATCAATAAGAAAGCCTGCTAGTTTTCTATCCCGATCTTTTTTAAGCCGCAAAGTTTGTTCATGGGGTGCCGCCTAACGTTCTCCGTTAAGTTCTGCATTAGCTGTTAAATCCAACAAGGAAGGAAACGAAGAACTTAATATACGACTTCCCACTCTGACACTATTAAGTGCGTTTATCGCAGGACCTGAGAGATTTCTATAACTTACTGAGCCTATAGGTACATATAAATCATTGATCATTAATTATATAACTCCACCGTACTTTCAATTTGATTGTAAAGAGATTTAGATACTGTTATACTATATAGCTGTCATCATTCCGTTTAAAGAGATTTATGATGTAATCCCCATAATTACATAGATGTATAACTTGGCTATTTTAATAATGATACAGCCAGTGGCATTATAAAGACATAAACTATCGATGATCTGCACCAGGGCTTAAGGTCTAATGAAATTCAGTTTATATATTTAAATAATTCATAAGACAATTTTGTTCATAGAGATACCTACAATTCAGAAAAACACCCCAAGGGACAATTTATTGTCATATCGACAGATCATGAGTGTAATTCATAAAAAAGTGCGATTTTGTTCATAGGGACACCCACAATTTAGAAAATCACCTCAAGGGAAGGTTTATTGTCATATTTACAGATGATGAGTATAAGTGGTGTCATAATGCGACACCCATCAGATCATTGATATCATTAAACCATGGGTATTATACAACAAGGCTGACATTCTTTAGATATATATTATTTATAGTCAAAAAGGATGAGTAGAGAGAGAGAGAGAGAGAGAGAGAGAGAGAGGAGGTTTAACGTCCACTCGACACAACTAGGTCATTTCGGGACTAACATATGGTTTAATTTTATTTCAATAATTCACTTGCGCATAGGGGTCTTTAGCAGTTGGAGGAAACCGGAGGACCCGGAGAAAACCCACGATGTTGAACAGGCGACCCTACTCCTTGTCACGTACATCCGGGGATTCGAAACCACGCCAGTCGACTCAATGACAGACTTTATGATACAACGCGCGCACGCTAACCATTCAGCCATCCAATCCGCCGTCAGTATAGAAGGAAGGGGGTCTAATAAAATGAGATAAAAACAAGTAATCTAACTCGGGTAATCATCTAGTGCTCCGCATCTCTGACTTCAAATTAGAATTAATAACTTCAAACTTATCGATTTAAGCAATGTGAAGTTTTTAAATTCTGGGCACTTTTAATTATGTATTATTCATTGCACAGGGTATCATATAACATATCGTCTTTGAAGGGACCTTTGTCAATGAATGCATTTCTTTAGTTGGGAAGAACTGTACTATTTTTTCTTTTTCTCGGGTTATTTTCTAAAGTCCTTCTTTTCCTAGGATAACCTCGACAATCTCGTGCTTTATCCTGTACATAAACCGTCTATGTTTACATGAGAATATCACAGAATTCCAGTAAGAAAAAACCTTATATCATGTTTTCTTATGGTAAAAAAAAACCTATCCTGGAAGAATAGCCCGTTACAGGTTTAAAGAAAAACTTTTAGAAGAATAACTCTGTATATGGATATTCAAAGCCGCCCCCGACTTTCAGACCGTAAGTTATTCCGGGCATAGAATATACCCCAAACATCAAAGGGATTTACCGTTGGAGTATTATAACGCTCATGTAAAACTAAAGAAGAGTTTGAATCAATGGATTAATTTCCGTCCTTTTATACTCAAGAATAAATAATAGGATAAATGAATTAAAGTCGCCCATTAGCATAATGATCAGAGAATATATGTAGATACAGACCGGTCATCAATTTGTCATTATAGAAAAAAGATGCGTGTGGCCGAGGAGTTGAGCCGGTTGGGCTTATAAAAATATGTCATCTGGTATAGCTATAATTATACTAATCGCTATACTCCGTTATTGATTATACAGTGTCCATATGTTTCTATAGAAATCTTCTTTGGATAATAATCAATAATTAATACAAGAAATAAAATAGGTTTTAAAGCAAGTTGTCAGGGAGCCACCATCGACTTTGTTTTCATGGTAAGGGAATTAGAAAAGAAATAAAATTTCACTTTGATGCTGAGTTACTTTATTACTATTAGCCAGAAATCGCTCAGAAAGCGTCCCCGACGATCTAGACCCCCAAGAGCTTCCGGGGCCTTGACGGCTCCTAGGTCCTCGCCTAAAGACCTAGGGTGGACGCCCTACGCGTGTTCGATCCGTGCATTGGCCGAGAAAATTCATCGGGATTTTCCGACGTGGTTTTTCCTTGTCAGTGGTGCAGGACGGAGGGCCTGCCAAGGACAGCTGTGTAGTCGCTAGGATGGAACGAAAACCCGAGGTCCCGTGTATACATTGGCTTGCACGTAAAAGATCCCTTGGCAGTTGGATTTCGATATAAGATTAGACCATAGTGCCGCTGCCCGGGTAAAATTTCCCCCATTGCACACTATGCCCATCTTCATTAGCCCCGTAGAACGTTAAACCACATTTCATTTCATTTCAAAGCAAGGTGTTATTTTATAAATAAAAATTTCATCCAAATCAAGTATTTGGTATAAAGAAATATGACTACACAATATAATAAGCGTATACAAATATCTTCTGCAAGTATTATAAGGGGTGGTCTAGTGGTTTAACGCGTGCACGTTGAATCATAAGGTCTGTCATTAAGTCAACTGGTGTGGTTTCGATTCCCCGGTTGTACGTGGCAAGAAATAGGTTCGCCTGTCAAACCTCGTGGGTTTTCTCCGGGTCCTCCGGTTTCCTCCCACTGCCAACGACCCCAACACTAAGCGATTTATTGAAATAAAATTGAACCATATCTTAGTAGCGAAATGACCTAGTTTGGGTCTAGTGGACGTTAAACCCCATTTCTCTTTCTCGCGATGGGGTGGAGTATCTATGCGAGTAATTTTATTTTGGAGGCTTATATTATCTAGATATTTGATTTTACTGTTGAACAGGTATTACTCGACGATGCGGGTGTATTGTCGGCCATATTCACTTCTCTTATTGATTTAAAATCAACAATTTTCACATAAAACTACCAGAGTTATGCCCCATTTTTATGAAATCAGATTACCGCTGTACGTAAATCAGAAAATAATTGACCAACTGCATGCGCGGATAAAGAGGAGAGGAGTCAGGGGTGTGCGCAACACCCCTAACCCCCAACCACTCCCCAGACACGCACGTAAACATAAAATGTATACACATCTTAAAAGAAGAATTGTCTTTCATATTGCTTTGCTTGGTCTGTCAGTGCACAATATTTAGCGCTTAGTTAACAAGGTGGTCCAGGGTTGACTAAGAAGTTCACCGGTACTTTCCGGAGTAATTTCCCCTTATCAGTGGTTCAGTCGGGGCTAGATCTACTTCTTAAGGCCAACTCAATTTTCGCCAAGGTCGCTGATGTTTGGAGAGATTGTAGATTAGGGTTAATAAGGTAGGCGTTAGGGCTAGGTCCAGGGTTAGGGTCAGGGTTAAGGTTGGGATTAGCGCTAGCCCTGTTTACATCTCGTGACCTTTGACCAAACTTGAAGTTGGCCTTATGAAATAGATGTAGGCCTAACCTTTCCGTCGGAACAGAAAATAGGACGTTAAACCCCAGAACAGAAGAAGAGTATCATTTATTAGAGAAATACGGAATTAGAAGTTTAAGCGACAACTTAAACGATTAAGACAAGACAAACAGGGTTGTTATTGTACTTACGTTTTGGTGCGCTGACTCCAAATAATATAAACTGTAATTACCTCCCCTTCAATATCGACCTAAGAAGAATCGACACTCTTCACATAAACTTCGTCAATCAATGGCCGTTTTGACAGTTCGGCGCCAGGTACCAGAATCTGCCCAGAGAGTCGGATTATAATCTTGATTGATTGAAAGACGAAAGGTAATAGATACTAAGAAACGCTATTCAAAATCCGTTAAAATGTCTACTCTACTAATTTAAAGATTGGACTACAATATGTAAGATTTAGATAGAGTTGTACGTTCTTGTTATAATAGTTCAAAACTAAATAATTCAAAATTGATATATTGAAAATTTCATTCAAATGACATAGTTGTTTGAAGTTTTGACTTTAAGACTGTTTATTATTACAGCAACGTCACTTGTTAATCAAGACTCACCAATAGTTCGGCCGAAGTATTCGCCACCGAAGTTACTCAGGCAATGCCGTTTACAAATAAGGCGAATGCCTGTGTTGATTTCGGGGCAAATAAGTCGTCTGAAACGTAATTCGCGCATGCGCTGATGCGCTTGTGGCCTCGTTATGTCTTAGGAGGTCGCCATTGTGTTTGTTATGGCCAAGAATTTCTAGGCCTCTTCATCGGGGAGAGCAAGGGTGGTAAATCTAAAAGTGACTAACGGAACTTGTTGAAATTCTGAATAATCCATATAATGGTAAGCTGGACACCAAAATTCCACCTGGGCCGCTTGATTTTCTCCTATGTGGACCTTCGATCGTATTTGACTGCTTCCGAAACCACGAAATGATGCTATGTGGAAAGTGTAAAAAAGATATGAGAGATTACTAAGTGCTCGGATGGGACAAAAAACCGAGACCCTTGTATACATTGGCGTGCATGTAAAAGATCCCTTGGCAGTTGCAATTCGATATAACAGTAGGCCATAGTGCCGCAGTCCGGGAAAAATTTCCTTCGTAGCACACTGTATGGCGTATGCCCGTCTTCATTAGCCCAGTATAGGCACAGAACCGTAGGACAATTAACCCCATTTCATTTTATTTCGTTACTAAGTGCAACTGTACGTTGAGAGGAAGTTACAGATAATAATTAAATAGCATTAGGCAATGAAACATTTGTCGTTCGACAACTTACATGTGACTTTTTACACGTGACTTCATCTTTAGAGGTAGTTTGACTTTATCATTTGACATTTAATCAATGGAAAAGACATAGCAGATTATTTAATATTGGCAGTCAGTCAAACACTTCAAAATAAATATTTTGCTACTGATTTACAATTAAAATATGCCAAAACTGCACCACATAAACAAAAACAATCCCAATACCCCGAAATGTTTGTGAAATTCACAAAGGTATCCATTGCACCTTAAACCTGTATAACATCCCATCTGAAAATTTCTGTGTTAATGTCACAATGT